CCCCCCCCCCCTCCCCCACCCCTCCTCGGGATGGATAAAGAACGGAGTCTGACTAACAATGACGAAACCATCTACACGCGGGCCTGCGTAAGAGGCAATAGTAGGCAGTATAGTAGGCTAGACTAGCTACAAAACAAAATATTTAGTCCCTTATGTGTGACCATTTTTAAACAGGGACTTCAGAATTCACTGTGTGCTTAGTTTCTTTTGCAATCACTTTTGACCTACGGAGCTGTAAGGCTTTTATTATATTTTGTTTCTTCTCCAGCGCAGGTCGAGAAAATACATGTGAAGGGGGAAAGGGGAGAAAGTACAGGTGAAGTTCTTAAAGACTGTATGTTGCACACCGTTGCACCAGCAATATCAATTAAATCATTCCCCGAGAGGAACCTGGGGACAAGCTGAAAGTTACACACGGAACTTCCGCTAATTCTGGGAAAGATCGTTGTTTGTTGGTTGTTTCTCTAAGTTGTACCTCCACACTTCGCACCGGTTTTTCCTTGGCAATGATGGCGCAAAGTGAGATATTTTATTCCGTATAATGTTAAAGTAAAATGCTTGGGGGAGTATGACAAAGCTAACGGCAAAAAATGCTGAACTGCTACCTTCAAACGCCTGTCAGTAGAAGTTTCGGTTTTGGTAGTGGCGCGTCCGGTTGTTTGCATGTGTTACTACCTTGACACTTATGATTATCAAAAAGGCTAGGAGTCCTTCGTTTCATCGGTGAAGGTGGGAAATGAACGTCTTTTCAAGAAATACAGCCAGTTACCGATTCCTTTCATTTAAGAAACTTAATTAGAGGAGTGAAGACCCACGCTAAATATAACCTAGCTAACATTTTATATTTAATATCGTCTATCTTCCGTGATTAGGCGTTGTATCATATTTTTCCACAGAGAGCTGTCCTATTTGTCTTGATCCTATGTCAAGTCCAAGAAGTTTAGAGTGCAAGCACAGTTTTTGTGTCGAGTGTATTCAAACTGCTTTAAATGTGTGCAACAGGTGCCCGGTCTGTCAACAGCCTCAAGGTATTATCACAGGAAACCAGCCTCGTGGACAGATGACTTTCTACACTGATCGTAACGGCGTTCCAGGCTACGAAGGTAAAACTCTTTAGAGCCAGAATTTAAACAATAAATTTGCATAGCTGCTAGCCAGGTGAGTGAAAACGAGAGCGAAAGTAGCGTCTTTGCAAATTTCTTGGAACAAAGGAAAGTTTTTACATATTAAGAAAAAGGTGCCTAACATAGCGGCCTTTTTATTTTTTTGTAACAGCATTATGGCCGGCCCCTTTGACAGTTCCATGTTTGGATGCTCTAAAATGATAAATCAAAATAAACGGAAAACTGATTTAGAACAGGAACCTGGGATAAAATTTTGCACGCCCTCAGTGATCATGATTAGCGATTAAATCGGCCGTCAAAGCAACTGGGCCCAGGAGACAAGCCGCTGATAGATAGGCAGCCACCTGTGACGTGATGTTTAAACGTTCTATTGAATATAACATTTGCAGGCTACGGGAAAATCGTCATCAGTTATCAGTTTCCCTCTGGAGTACAAGGCTCGGAACATCCAAACCCTGGTCAGCATTACCAAGGCACATCACGCACTGCTTATCTCCCAGACAATCATGAAGGGCGACAGGTGCTGCAGTTTTTGAGGAGAGCGTTTGATGCTCGACTGGTGTTTACAGTGGGTACATCAAATACAACAGGGCTTTCAAATCAAGTGATATGGAATGATATTCATCACAAGACCAGCATATCTGGAGGTCCTTATGGGTAAGGAATTAATTATAGGTTCGCTTAGTGCCATTCAAGGCACCCTTTAGTAATTTTGTATCAAAAGACTTAAAATTACCCATATCTTGTTATTATCGACTACTGTGTTCAATGTTAAGTGACTCAAGTCTTGTGAACATATTCAGTTCACAGAAAAGAAATCGTGCTTATTATAAAATCGCCCAGTCACTAGGACAAGTATTCAACTAAATGATGCTCGCCTAAAACTGGGATGAAGAAGGATCTGGATTTGATTCACAGTTCAATAATAGAGCTGTAATTTGTCCATTCATCTATTCTTGCTTCCTACTGTCTCCTTGTCTAACTATTGTGTTCGATTAACACTGAGAGGAACTAATCCCCATTTCAGTTCAACACCGATAGACTGAAGCAACCGTTTTAAGTCTCAGATTCATAATTGCGAATTTGTATTTTCAAGGTTTGGATATCCCGATCCAGGCTACCTACAGAGAGTCAAAGAAGAGTTGGCTACAAAAGGAATTCGATGAATGGTCATCTTCAGTCTTGTACTACAACCATACGCAATGTGCTATTTAGACCGTTTTGAGATGTTATACAGTACACACCTCCTTTTGAAGCTGTTGAAACAGGAATTATAACAATCAACATTCCCTTTTGCTTTTTAGTTGGTTTAATATTTACCATTAGAATGCAGAAAAGAAACTGATTCAATAAATGATTCGCCAAAAGAAACGTAAAAGACATGCATGTAGGAGTAGAAGATTCTGTAGAGTACTTCATACTTTCAATGTATTATAGGACATCAGTTTTCAGCGTAAGGCAAAACAAACAAACAAACACAATAAAAACAAAATATTCCTGCGACACTAAAAGCTGTGGGAGATGACTTTAGACGTTGTTGACCATCAGTTTCTGGTCTACATGGGGAAACTATTTGGTCCATGGTTTTTCGGTAACATGCGATAAATTTTTGAAATTGGCGCGTTTGATATTCGCAATCTGTTCAATTGACTGTATATAGTGAAACCTGGGAGGGCACAGGGGCAGAGTCAAATGTCCTAGAATAGAATTAGAAATTGTATGAAGATTGCAGCACTTTTGCGACTACGGTGAAAGCTCAGGAGTCTGTAATATAGAGGTGTACTCTTTACCAGAAAACGTTCATCTTATTCACAGTCGTTATACATAGTACAAGGATTAAGAATTAAGCCTGTGTCGGGATTAGCCTTCCACGCAGACGTTCTTACGGGTTCGTCACGCAATCATTCCTCTCCCACGAACGTTCGTGGGGTAGGAACGCGTGACGAACCCCTAAGAACGTTTGCGTGGGAGGCTAGTGTGGGATATAGAGTGGTTTTCGTTTGAGTGTCGTAAAACCAAAACCAAAGTAATTACTCTGACCAATCACAAAGGACACAGACAATACATTGAACCAATCAAAACTCGAAGTAATTACATGGGGCTGACGCAAAGCGCGGGAAAATGCATGCGAGCGCGTCACAATTGGCTTTGGTTTTACTTCTGATTGGATGAAAAGGTGGAGCGAATCTTTTAAGCCAATCGCATCTTGTAGAAAGTGCAAAACCAATTACTTTTCGACACTCAAATGAAAACCGCTCTAATGAGTGGAGTATTGACTCTTCCCTCCATTGGATATTTGCCATGTATGTTATTCAGGGGCGGATCTGGATTGATTGGGGGAGTTCAAAATTTGGATCAGAAAGGACTGTTAAACTTTTTTGTGGAAAATTACTTCGACGGAGACGACCACGTGTTTCTCTATCTGTGAACGCTAGTCGCCGTTGGTGCGGGGAATGCTTTGCGAGCAGAGGCGAACAGATCATACTGGAGGGTACTCAACAACAATTAGATTTTGGAATATCCTTGGAATTTAGTTTAGTGGGAAAATGCAACGCGCGTTTCATTAAAAAGATCAGCCAGTTAAAAAGTGATATACGATCCTGTCGATGTAAGGACACCCCGGACCCTCCTCCTGGATCTGCCACTGGTATTTTGCAAGTATATCAAAACAAAATAAACAGGTAAAGCAGTCACGGGCTGATTGATCAAGAGCTATTGAGGATAGCGCATGATTCGTGCTTACTCAGTGTTTATTGAGGAGGACCTGGGATCGAGAACCAGATTAATTGGGCGGATGGTCCACTTGGTAGTCACTTGAAGGGATAGACGAGAGGGCCCTTCCTCGATCCTGAGACTGGGACCAAGTTTTACGATCGCCGAGTTTAATCGCCGAGTAAATCTTCGCTTCTGCATCGATCACCGCATCGCAATAGCCAAAAAATGGCGCGTAAAGGAGTCAGAATGAATACTCGCGGGCGTATTCAAAAAGATGCGATGTGATTTATTTTGTTTCTTATTTTTTTCGTCTAAAATATACTTAACATTGACTTATTCGTACTTCGAAAAATATTACTGGCTCCCGCCACTGATATTAAACGGAAAAAGGCGAAAAACTACTTGGGGTGACAAATTATTTTTCTTCACAAATATTAAAACAGATGGATTTGAGACTTATGACAAGGTGCTGTTGAAATAAACGAATATACCCCCTCAAAGCCAAAAATGGAAATTATTTTTGTCTTCCTTATCTCTAAGCAGACTAGGGTTCCCTGACCTATCCCTACAAGGGATAGACGACAAGTACCTCTCCGGGATTGGACGGCCGGTCCTGTACTCTGAAAAACATTAACCAAACGCGTCCGAAAGAGCGGGAAAAATAAAATCCAAACAAGAGTAGGCGTACTGCAGTAGCTGTTTAGGGACTTGTCAGAAATTAGCAGCGGGGGAGGGGGGTGGAAATTTTAAATTTGGGTTCGGAAATGAGGTGACCCATCCCTGCAATGGGAGTGAAATATGCTAACCCTCCCCTTGACCTTGGCCTAAAATATCATGACCCTCCCCCTCTTGTATAAATTATAAAATCTAGGGCTTGCAATACACTAGGGTGAGTCAGTAGGTATTATGAAAGCTCAAAATATATTTCTAATCTGTTCTTTGTAATGCCATATACATAGATTTTAGATGACATCATTAAGAGTCCCACTCTGATTCTGACAGCTGATCACTCGACTGTCCTATTTTTTCCCAAGTTTTTTTACAAAATGAAGAACTTCTTTTTTCTTCTGTGGGTGAACCTCTACATGATCAGGGACACATATTTGCATGACCCTCCCCCTTTTAACAGCCCATTTTTCATGACTCCTCCCTTTTCGGTAGTCTCAAAAAGTTGTAACTCTCCCTCTGTTTCAACCCCCTTCCCCCCCTGCTAATTCAGGGGCAGATCTAGGGGGAGGGTGCAGGGGGTGCGCACCCCCCCCCCC